AATGGGATGAAGTACATTGTGGTAGCCATAAGCTCCACCTCAATGTTGAATTGAGTGGAGTACTTCAACAACTTAAAGATAAATCATACAAGAAAATTTATTTCTAAATATATATATGTAAACATTCTAAAAGAAATATATGGTGGAATACCCTAAATTCTTCACTATATAAGCATATAACGTAAGTCATTAATAAAAATATCGAAAAAATTCTTACCAAAATAGTTCAAGAACTACATGTATTGAGTAAAAAGAGAAAATCTTTGCACAAAATGCTAGAACATCAATAAGGGCCACTCCTTATTCACTAGTATATAGAGTTGAAGTTGTTTTACCAATTAAAATAGAGATACAATCATTATAATTGATGAAAGTAAAGATCCCAACCAAAATAAGACAAACTATCATTAATATACGACAGAAATTATAAACCCACGCATTTACGCATATAGACTAGAACAAAGGTTATAAGGATATCCAACAAAAAGATGAAATTATTAAAGATTAAAAAGGTAACTTATTATTCAAATAGGCTAAGTTCATATCATTTTATCAAAAGGGGGTGTTCAAGCCAAATTGGGAAATACATATTGGGTGGAGAAAATCCTATTTAAAGAAGTTATTAAAATTTTAATCTCAAAATTAAAAGAATAAATTCATAAAAGCTATAAAAATAGATTGCTTAAATGATACTTGTTATGAAGAAAAATGCAAAAAGAAAAAGGAGGGAGAAAATTAAACTTTTATAAAAAGTAAAAAAAAAAAAAAAAGAAGTCCTAATAAATAAAAACACTATAAATTGCTTATCAAATAAAACTTTAAGAGATATGATGAATTCAATGGGTAAATGTCTTTAAAAAGCTAAAAAAATTAATATATATATATATATCAAAGAGGGGAATAACTAGTTTAAAAACTTGAAAAAATGATTACAAATTTTTTATGAATATGAGTATCCAAAAATTCTTTGTTACTCAAGAAAGCTAATGAAAAGTTTCATTAATTGAGTGAAAAAGTAGTATTTATTTTATTAATTGATTACATTGACAAATCATTTTTCTTTTTTGGACATCCAATTTTGGTTACATCGCATGCTTCCAAGAAGATATCTTTGAATTTGCAATACTAACCATAATAAATGTTGAACGTGGGAGACGACCCATATCTCGTAATTTTTATTATTAAAATTTTTGAAGTAGTGTAATTGATAATTTGATAAAAATAATTTATTTTTTTATACTACACATAATAATCTTGACTAAGTTTATCGTATTTAAATTTAATATCTTAAGAGATTATAACAATTCCGTTTCACTTTCATCGGAGAGGAGATACTTAGCATGATGATTTGTGAAAGGTTCAATAATTCTTATCCCAATTAAAAAAAAAACTGAACCTTTCATCTATACTCATTTTTTACATAAAAATTAATTAATAATATGTACAGTCATATTTTCTTGATTTGAAAAGCATACATCTTTATGAGCGATTTATAATAATGTAGGGGAAACACCCTTATTAATGTAATTCAAATTTATAATTTGATTAAGATTAAGCTGTCAAATCTTGTGTATATGTTGTCTTTAATGAATGTAATTAATTAAAAAAAAAAAAAAAGAAATAATAAATAGATAAGCATATTCTTAATAGAGCCCTAAACCGGCCACGCGGCCGTCCCGGATTAATAAAATCAATATTTAATATTTAAAAGTTACTTTCTGAGTTAGAGGTGTTAAAGTTAATTATTTTTTTAACTTAATTAATTAATTAATTATATTAAATTTAATATAAATCTGTTGACCTTTTTACACCGAAAGCCCCAAAAAGTCGTCTTCGTGTTGGGTTACTTTTTTTTTATATTTAATTTCCACGACCACGTGCACCAATCATAAAAATCTAAGAATAAAAAAATAAAAAAAGGAAAGACACGTGTCAAATTTATAGGGCAAAGGCAGAAAGAGAGGGTAAGTGTCGATGTTTTGAGTGACGCATACGTGCACAACTATGACACGTGTCGGAAAGACACAGGCCATGTTGGTGTAAGAGATTTAAGAGGCCTTTAAGATTCGTCCATGTGGGACCCACTCGAACACATGGACGGAGATGACGTGGCCAGATCACATTTTTCGTTTTATCATTTTTTTTTTCTCGCGTTTTAATTTTTAATAATTATTTTTATTAAATTTATTTTAGTTTTTTAATTTAATGATATTTTTATATAATTAAGAAATTTTAATTTTTTTGCTCTCATCTATATTTCGTTTTTAGTATAAATTTGAAAGTACAGAAATAAAAAACTTTGATAGAAAATAATTTTATTTTTTATTTAAATTATTTAAAAAAAAGGCTTACAAACCATAATTTCGTTTTTTTGTTTTGTTTTTCTGAAATATGATTTTAAGTATAATAATAAATAATAAAATTAAATGTGACATATACCTAATTTAAGCTACACCAAGAATGAATAAAAAGAAAAGAAGGAAACCCAACTCCTGCTTTTTAGTGCAATTAGGTTTGTATGTACTTCATGACGGGAGATTGTGGTTCTTGTTAATATAATATTTAATTAATATCTAAATATGTTTACATGCCTAAAAAATTGTGAGATCACCATAATTTATATATTAAAAACTATATGTATACAATTTATCCGAAAAAAGAAAAGAGACAGATCGTTCTGTTGATTATCCCAGCAACATCTTTTTACCAACCACCTTGTTTACGTGTCAAATACATCTGATGTGTACATACACGTATATGTATGTACCCGATGTGTACATACATATGATATATGAATATTTGTTGGTTTATAGCAATACAAATATTAAAACCTGAAAAAAGAGAAATTTATACTTTTTTTTTAGTTTTTATATTTTATGCCAGATTTTTCTCTTGGACATTCGGTAGGGGAAGAGGGTGGAGCCTTCCAAAATAATTCAAGTATTATAAAAATTATATACTAAATTTTCTATATATATATATATATATATATTTTTATTTCTTTATGTTACCATTTACGTAAGGTGCCTAATTTCTTTAATACTTACCAAGTATTGTAAAATACCTTAAGACATATTATATTGCCAAAAATTATCGTGTACATAAACAATATGAAAATCGATATCCTCCTACTACTACTGTTTGAGAGTCTACGGTTTCATATTCTATTTTATTTTTCAATTGAAATTCTTTTCACCATTCTCTCGCAATATTACTTTGATATCAATTATTTAGAAATATTTAGTATTATAAAGTGGTCTTTACTAAATCACATAAAATTCTCTACGTACTTTATGTTATTCGGGTCATACCATAAATTAGTAATATTTTGGATTACTGTACTTTCACCATCTAGGACGCAATACTCCACCGCTTCGTCTACCAGCATGATACTTTTATTGCTCTTCCACAATCCCATTTTCATAATTTATACTGTTTTCATTTTTTACTGCTGTTACTGTTTAAATTATAATTAAAGATAAAAGTTCAAGTTTCAATTCTAATTTTAAGTAGAAGTAGTATATATATTACTTTGTATTAAAAGAGCAATATGAGAGGGGTTTTTTTTTTTTTTTTTTTAATTTTTTATAAACTACATGATGAAAGATTTAGATACATGTAGTCTTCATCTATTTTATATATCATCATAAATAAATGAATCTTGCTGCTGTTATACCATTTGGTTCATTTTTATTTTAAGTTTTAGTCAATTCATAATTTTAATTAGTTCTTATAATTTGTTGATTGAATGATGAATATGTACACCCATTTTTATAATACCCGAATTCAAGTTATAGAATGTATATTTTTATTAAAAAAAAAACTATATTATAATTAGTAGACATGTGTTAACCTAATTAATTAAATATATAAATTTTTACTCAAAAAATACATAATTTTTAAATTAGATTATCATCATTTTCACTTTTAATTTTTTTTTATTTTTTATAATACGAGTGCATTTGGTAGAATGACTGACTTATAATTATGCTCATTATTACTGTATTTAATTCTGCTATGAATTGAAACTTGCACGAAATGTAAGTAACTTAAATAAATATACAAGTGATATGTTAGGAGGGCATTTTATAATTAACATAAGTAATAATGATGGAAATACATAACATTAACAATCAAAAAGTAACATAATTGCATTACAATCAACAATTAAATTTTCTGAATACTATATGAAATAAGTAAATTTTATATAAAATTTTAAACAACCATATAAAAAGTTTAAATACATAAATTTTTATTTAAAAAAATTACGAAATTTCAGTTTGGTATATATATATATAAAGTTTTGGTGTAAATTTATTCATACCTAAATTGTGAGTACATTATTCATAAAATAATATAAATTAATTCAAAATTAAAAGAAATTAACATTCTGAAGAGGTGGTATTCATGTTTTATAACATCTTACACAAATTATAATTACAAAATATAGTATAACCATTATTTTAATTTCAGTAAATAAAAAAATATAGAACTTTATATTATATTTTTTAACATAAGAATTTTATAAGTAAAAATGTTCAATTTAAAATTATATGTTTTTAATTATTGATATTAAAACTAATTTAATTAATTGAGCATAAATTTAAATAAAAGCAAGAGATGTACTACAAGCTGAGATGAACGAGAAGCTGATTGGAGACGCACTAATGTCCCCGTGAATGCAGCAATCATCAGTGAATTTTCTAAAAAAACAAATTGTTGGAAAGACAGTTTTATCCGTCTTCCAACCAATAATAACTTGACACGTGGCGAACATCGGTATAAAGTTTGGTAGAGATCGAAAAGGCGAAAAATGCTGAGTTGGATGAACCGGGTGCACCAAACTGTCTGTGAAACCATATAGAATCAGAAAAGTTTTTTTTGAACTTTTGAGAAAGAGAAGAAAATCTTTTGAGGCCACAAAAACTTGTGGCTCAGAATTAAACTGCGATGCTGACGTGGCATCCACCTTTCTTTTAAACGGATCAAAAACCTAAACTATAATTGTACGCTGGGTGCCAACAAAGACCTCAGAAAAAAAAAATAAATAAAAGGAAGGATTTGCAGAATTTTCTCGCGCGTGTTTTTTACTTTTCATAGTTCTGTTTGGTTCCCGAGAAAATGCAAGACCCTGCTATTACGCTATTTGGAAAGAAAATCCAACTGCCTGCTGATGGAGAGATTCCTACACTCTCCGGTGATGATTCGGATTCTCCTATCACCATTGGTTTGGAGAAGGAGATGAGTGGGAGAGATGGCGAAGAAGAGGAAAAGCTAGACAAGGTACGGTTTTAACAGTTGGTAGAATAGAAAACTTTTGCTTATTTTGAGGTCTGACCTTTTTCTAAAAGGAAATTCTGAAACAATTCATGGATCCGTTTTACTCACCTCGTTCTCTCACTCCTCTATTTTCATTTAGTTCTCCTCCTCCTTTTTGAAGCACAGCCAATACTTTTGGTTGTGAGTTTCGATTTTGATTTACTGGATTTTTGTACATTAAATATTTTCCTTGTATATCTTGGTGTGTAAGTGAGAAATGACCGCGAAGAAAAGGAAATTGTGATTTTCCTGCAATTTCTTTTCTAGGAATTGTTTATGGTAGTTCATTTTTCGTGATTCAATGAACTATTCGATCACTTACAGTTTCTATATACAGAAATCAAAGAATTTAAAATATATATTAGTTTCTGATTTCATCGTCAATAATGTTCGTCTCTGTAAAACAGCTCTGACTTGGTATTTACACATTCAATTTTCGCAATTAAGATATTATCACCTGAAAATTGGATTCCAAATGCTAATACCTAAGTTCAGTTTTACTAAATAAACTTAGTTTTTTTCTTTTAATGGATGAAATCTTCGCATTTTAGGACTGCACTTATTTGATCTTGCTTGCTTGTCCGCTAGCTTACAGATTGCTTATGCTTAGTTTTTGTGGTAAATATCGTTTTTTTTTTTAAAGTTTCTTTCATTTGCCAAGAGACTTTTGGTTCGGCGATTGTTAAGTATTCGAGATCTTCCTTGACGCAGGGCTTGAGAGATTCGTGTTTTTTTGGATACTTCCATTCTTTTTACAGTACGATGATGATAATTTTCCTTTCAAATTATCAATACTAATTTTTTAAATGTTTGTTGTGATTAATTGTATCAAAAAATTCTCTGATTCCTTTTTAGCTTAGTGAATGAACTGTCAGATTATTTTGAAAACCTGTTGTAATTCCGTTTTTAAAATAATCCTTTATTGGGTCGATAATAACCATGTAAATATACAAGACAAATCCTGAAGAAGATGGGTGGGAAAGGGGATCAAGAAATGATGGAATGTGTTGCTGCCTCTTTCTTTTAAGTTGATAATTTCTTCTTGTTGTCCTGCTGATTAGTCTTGTCAATTGTCAATCTGAGTTTTGTTTATTATACTTGGACAAATTACTTAAGAAAAACCCTACGAAAAATTTCAGGATTCCTTAACGCAGAAAGCCATTAGTGCCCCACAACAAGATGATACTAAACCAGTGAATAAAGAGGAGAGTACAACTACTGAAAGCTTGCCGGAGTCGGGTGTGAACCCAGAAACACAATCCGTAGATGAAGAAACTGGAAAATCAAAGACTGCCAAGGCTGAGAAAGCAAAAAATGATTTGAGTAATTCACAGGAGAAAACACTGAAGAAGCCAGATAAAATTCTACCATGTCCTCGATGCAATAGCATGGATACAAAGTTTTGTTATTACAACAACTACAATATCAACCAACCACGGCATTTCTGCAAAGCCTGTCAAAGATACTGGACTGCAGGTGGTACTATGAGGAATGTGCCAGTGGGAGCTGGGCGGCGCAAGAATAAGAATTCTTCCTCACATTACCGACACATCACCATCTCAGAGGCTCTTCAAGCAGCACGAATTGATGTTCCAAATGGTGTTAACCAACATGCATTGAAAAGCAATGGCAGGGTGCTCAGCTTTGGCCTGGACGCACCAATTTGTGATTCAATGGCCTCTGTTTTAAAGCTTAGGAATAAAAAAACTTTGAATGGTGGACGGAATGGTTTTAGCAATGTTGAAGAACAAAAGATTCCAGGTCCTTGCAGAGGTGGAGAAAATGGTGATGATTGCTCAAGTGGATCATCAATAACAGTTTCAAATTCAATGGAAGAAGGAGGCAGAAATTGTGCACAAGAACCATTGATGAGGAGCATTAATGGCTTCCCGTCCTCAATTCCATGTCTCCCTGGTGTTCCTTGGCCTTATCCGTGGAATTCTATACCCCCACCGGGCTTCTGCCCTTCAGGTTATCCCATGTCATTCTACCCTACAGGTTATTGGAATTGTGCTATACCAGGAGCTTGGAATGCTCCCTGGTTGTCTCCCCAGCCATCTACCACATGCTCAAACCAAAATGGTCCAAGCTCTCCACTAGGAAAGCATTCAAGAGAGGGAGAGACACTTAAACGAGATGAATTGGAGAAAGAAGAGCCTCCAAAACAAAAGAATGGCTCCGTTTTGGTGCCAAAGACTTTAAGGATCGACGATCCCACTGAAGCTGCAAAGAGTTCCATATGGGCAACTCTTGGGATAAAGAATGAATCACTTAGCAGGGGAGGGTTGTTCAAGGCCTTCCAGCCGAAGAAAAACGAGAAGAATCACGTGGCAGAAGCCTCTCCAGTATTATGTGCAAACCCTGCAGCCTTGTCTAGATCACTAAAATTTCACGAGAGCTCTTAAAACGGTTGGATACAGTCTAGATGTTGGTTAAGTAGGCCGGAAGAGCAACATCCAGATTCAACCTGTTGGAGTGAGTTTTGCTAGTTACCCTCTGGATCACTTTGATTCACTGGCCTCACGACAGAACAGCCTGCTAAGATTGACTGAATGAACAGACCAAGGAGCTCAAATTTCTTGTTCTCATTGCAATTAGAGAAAAGTAAAATAATTGTTATTTTGTAACAGTACGAAAAGGTGTCAGTTTCTTTACTTAGTTTCCTGAGTTGTGTTCATGTACATATGTTTACATATATATATATATATATGTGAAATACTATTATAAAGTTGGGAAAATATCTTGTTTCTACCGTACCTAATACCTAGTGCTGAATTTCTTTAGTACCTCTGGAAGTGAATGTTTTTTCTCCTCCATCTTCCTTGGTGCAGTGCTGCTTTTTGCGATGGCTGATGCATTTTCTTTTTCATTTGTAACGTATTCTTTCTGGGTAGCCTGTAAAAGGCTTAGTTACAGCTACTTGTACAATATATAGTGGAAAAGACAGTATATATGTGTGTGTATAGTTTATTGTCTGTCAATTACATATATGGGTCCGTGCGTACATGATCTCAATGCAAAAGAAGTTGCTGCTAGAAACAATACAGAAAAGATGCCAACTTGAAGATTGTGACTCTTGAAAAATCAGATAGGCTTGAATTTTCTCTGATGGGTAAAAACTAGCTTTCCTTTTCAAACCCTAGGAATCCTTACAAGTTGCACTTTAAAAAAAAAAAGAGGAAAGGCAGAAATGAAAATTCCTTGGTACCTCTTTCTTGATTCTTCCCTCAAAAATATTCCATACATATATTTATATATCACTTGTACCAAAGTAAAATTAAATTTAAACACATTAATGGATGAGGAGGAATTGTTGAAATTACCCGCGTGTGTTTCTGGTCCACGAATGAGATATTTTGCAAGGAGGAGCAAATATAGGCCACATCTTTGTATATTTGCAGTGGGACCCAATTTTGCATATCGTGTAATCAACCCTTTTTGGCATTCACTCTTTTCTTTCTTTTCTTTTTGTATTTTAATTTTTTCTCTTTGTGATGAAGCAATTTCTGCCCTGTCATCGTTGATGTCTTTTTTAAGTTCTGCTTTTTTGAAAAAATTATTAATTTTTTTTTTTTTTTTTTTTTTTTAAAGAAATATGTGAGTAATATCAATTTTGTTTGTCTTATTTTATTGTGGAAAAATAATTAGATTCCAAAATTCTCAATTAATAAAAAGGGTTAGAAATAATTATTGTAAAGATGATTTCACCTAATGGAAAAGCAAATTTAGAGGTTGGTTGGGAGCTCACTCAGCCAATGTGGAAAATGCCAAAAGCATACCCACTAATCTACAGTGTCAGTAATTAACGTGACGTGTCACTTTTAGTTCTTTTTCTTTATTATTATTATTTTTGTTTTGTTTTGTTTTTCCAAATAATAATTTAAATTAATCAGAAGTAACACATAGATAGGATGTGTTTTTTAAATATGGGTATTTTCATATTACATTTAAACTTTCTATTTGAAATAAAAATTAATTTAAAATTACTTTCCTAGTTAAATTATTTTCTTGGCTTAAAAAAAAAAAAAAAAAAGAGAGAGAGATGGCAATAGCCTAAATGATATGATAATAGTTTAATCATATATATATATATATATATATATATATATATATATAAAGATTAAGTCAATGGGTTTGAATTTGATTATTATTATTATTTCACAATTTTCATGATGAATCATTTTTATTTTTGGTGCGATTGAGGATGAAACCATATGGCCACTTTATCCATGTTGACCTTTCTTATGCATAAAAAAAGTAAACCATTGACATATATGCCAACCTCCCACTATAAATCACTCTTGATCAAGTGTGCTTTATCTTTTTAATAATAATAATAATAACAACAATAACAATAAACAAATATCTAAAGTTGGAATTCATGATATATACATCAATCCACTGTTTGTATCACAAGAGTTTTTTCTTTTTTTTTTTTTTTCGATTATCTTTAAATCTCTTGGCCACCATTGTAGCATCTATGGTCTTCTTTTTCTAGATTTACTCTAATGATTTTAAATATAAGTTATAAGTATATACTTCATCTGCAATTGTTACAGATTAAGGTCACTCAAAACTGTTGATTCTTAAACTATTTTTGTACTAAAGCAACTTGTGCCGCCTTATATATAGATTTCCTTTTGGGGATTACGTACATATAAAAAGTTGTTGAAAAAATTCACCAGTTGTACTCAATTAATTAGATATTCCTTGGTTTTTCTTTTTCTCTTTCAGTTCGAAGCTTGTCTTTAATTAGGGTTTTTGAGGAGGTTGATGAATTTTGCTGGAAAGGAAGGCAAAGAGTAAAACCTGGTAAAATGATTGCAAAAGAAAAAGTTGGGATTGAGTCCACTAAAGAATAGTTTTAGTTGAAATATGAAAGAAAAAGTGAAGGGTTATTTTCAGATGAGGAAATGCAAAAATATCACACACACACACATACACATAGGGTTTGTGGGACACGTGTATGGCATCAAATTCTGGGTTCCTATGAGGATGACCAAATTTGGGTTTTGTCACTTTTTTTAAATATATTTTGTAAACATTATAATTGATTTTGGGTGCCTCTATTTTTAAAAAAATTGTTGCTGAGAACAAAAGCATCTAAAGAAAGTGTGGTGTAAAGTTCTCTCTTTTTCAAGAAAAGAAAGAAAGAAAAGTTGAGAAGTTTAAGTTCAGTTGCCTTTCCCTGTTGTAGTGGAGAACTGATGGGAACACCAAGCTTTTCAGCAAATAGATTCAAACTACTACATTATATATATATATATATATATATATATATACACACACACATTCAATAAGGAAATAAAGGGAGAGCATTACTTGCAATTTGCATATAAATTATGGTAGATTTGACTTTTCAAGCATTAGTTTAATGAAAATTCTCTATGGGTACTTAACAAAAACTATAAGTAAATACTAACAAAAAAAAAAAAAAAAACAGAAAATAAGCAAAGTAACTTTGCCTAGTTGGAAATTTGCAGATAAGTCACTTGGATCATAAATTCCTGTCTTTAAAACGACATCAACTGAGTTTGATGTATACCACAAAACTCGAATTCAAATAGATCAACACGCCTACAAACTGAAAAATTATGACATAGTCGGACTACAAACGATTTGGAACACCACCTTATAACTAGTTCATTTTAACCGTGTAAGAAAGAATCTAACCCGGTATGATAAAATACTTGTTAAAACCAATTGAATTCACAACGTAAACCTCCCACAGTGCAGAGAAATTTCTTCTACAAATCTTCAACATACACAAACCATGAAGTTCTACCCTAAAATATTTTCAAGAATAAGAAAGATATTTAAGCATTGGATTATTGCAAAATTTATGAATTCCATCCACACAAAAAATTATTGAACGTTACTTGGTTTTACCCAGAGTAATTTTCATTTGCTTGAACTTGTCTTTGTGAAATCTGTAATTTCTTCACTGCGCCATTATTTAACTGCCAAAACCTCATACTAAATAACTCTTAACATTATTAGATTCATACTCAGTGAAATAATTAATTCAATATTTGAAGTGGCTTTAAAAATGCTACAGAAAAAGCAATTTTATAGGCGGAGTTTCTTTCAGTACTAACAGTGTAATGGATTTATATTAGAATGTAAGTATGCAAGCATTGCTATGACTTGATCAATTAACTTTCCTGCACAAAAGATTCAGAATCTAGCCCGGGAGTATTGAAGTTAAACATTAAAAGATCCAACATGTAACTTATTTGCAGTTTGATTGGAAATATGAAGAATGATAATTAGTTAGCATGCAACACTACATAATACCTTTTTTTCTTCTCCAGTGGCCTCAAGGGCTCCAAACAGGGCTCAAACTGTGGTAGTTAGTACTCTCTGTTCTGCAACCAGTTATTGGTCATTGAATTCTACATCCACCACTGTCTGGTGCACGGCGCACATTCCCATAGGCTGACACTTCAAGAAGATCCATGTCACGACCTGAAGTCCATCCAACCCAAGGGAAAAATTTAGTGTTAGTAATCCAAACCAATTTTCTTTTCTATAGAACTTTATCCATGTCTGTTAGACCGGGAATACCTGAAACCCGACAGTAGGAACTTTTTTGAATGAGGTCAGCTCTAGATATTTCAGTCCTATTCCCCTTTGATCGATTAACTGTTGCCTGCAGGAAAGTCAAACAAAACTCAAGACTTTTTCTCTCACTCCCATAGCATGAATGTGGGAATCGACTTTGACATGCACAGATCTGGACACAGAAAACGGTAAAAACTTACAGGAGCATTTGCTAATTGATTCAGGAGCATCTAGAATATAAGGTCACAAAAAAGAAACTTATAGGGTCCATAGGGTCCATTGGATGGAGAAGAGAGGGCGGGAGGGGGGGCGAGAATGAAGGGAGGAAATGACAGTGCTCTAATTCTCC